CGTCCTTACTGGAGCTTCGTGTCTGCAAAGTTTCTCAATCAAAGGAGCAGCATGCAATGGGGGTGGGGTCTTTCAAGCCTAGAACTGAATCATGGTTCTGTCCCTGGCTGACTGTGTGATATGGGCAAGTCACTCAACCACTCTGAGCCTTGGCTTTCTCTTACGGCAACACAGGGATAATACTGCCTCTCCTGTAGAGTCACCCGGAGAACTAACTAAATAAAAGCGGTGTTCATGAAAACCCCTGCCACAGTGCCTAGAACTTAGAGGAGGTTCCATAGAGGCAGGTTTAGTCATTGATTCCTTTATTCCTGTTTTCATGTTCTCACTTCCTCCCTCATACTCTGCAGTCAGGAAAGGAGGTGACAAATGACTTATGTCAGTTAGGATATAGTTTGAAGGTTGTTGCAAAGGCCAGAATGACAGTGGCTCCGACAAGGCAGAAGGTTATTTCTCTCACACACAGCAGTTTAAGCATAAGCGACAGGGCGGATATGGCGGCTCCCAGGCTCCTTCTCTGTAGCTTCTCTGCCACCTTGACCTTCAGCTTCCACCTCCCAACTGTACTCTCACTCTAGCCAGTAGGAAGGGGAGAAAGAAAGCAAAGCACCCACGTTCCCCTTTAAGGAAAACTGGCAGTTGCTCACGTGGACACCTCTGGTGTTCCAAGTCACGTGTCATTGGCCAGAACAGCATCACATGGCCACACCTAGCTGCAAGGGAGGCTAGGAGATGTAGTCTCTACTGCAAGGGAGTTCTCAACAGGGGAGATTTTGCCCCTACCCCCAGGGGACACTTGGCAATGTCTATGGGGGGGCGGGGGGGGGTAGAGGCCAGGGATGCTGCTAAATGTCTTACAATGCACAGAATAGCCTCTCCAACAGGAAAGAATCACCCAGCCCAAAATGTTTAAAAGCACCATGGTTGAGAAACACTGGTGTGACTGGGCAGCCAGATGCTGGGGGTTCTATTACAAAATGAAGATGGAGGGCAACAAAACGGGGGGACAACCAGCAACTTCTGCTATAGGCACATACGCTGAGGATCACATGATTGAAGAGGTTTAAATTATATCTTTTCCCAGGTGGATCTCTCTCCAGCAGGGATCAAAGCTTTAGGTCAATGGACTTCGAGGACTATCAAGAATTAGCTCACAAGACAGAGAGGATTTGTGGCTGGGCAGCCCTGAAATCTCACCCCCTGGGTGGCCCACCCAGAGCCATGCCACCAGGGAGGCTGGAACCCACAAGCCTCCCAGGGAGCTGGGGCCCCACAGGTGGGGTTCACAGCCTCGCCCTGCAGCATCTCAACTTTCTTCTGGTTTTCCTTGAGATAACTTGGGACCTTTTGCAACCCATTTCTGATTGGTTCTGTTTTCCAAGGAGGTAAAAACTGGGCTGAGCAAAAAGGAGGGTGAGAGTTAAGGGGCCTTAATTACCAGGGAAGATACCACAGTAAAAATTTCAGGGTATTCACCCAACAACACTAACTTACCTGTCTTAAAACTCAGCATGAGAAACTGGCCAACAGAGAGGAGTAAGGACTTGGATATATCCTAAGGAACTATCCCACTGCTACCCTGTTTGACTGTACTTTCTCAATATCAATGGTTTATTGGGCTTCTGCAACATACTAGAAACTATCCTCAGCACTTTCCAGACGTCACCCCCTTTAATCTCTCCATCAACTCCTGGAAAAACTACTATTATCCCCATGAAACAGAGGGTCAGAGAGATTAACTTGCCCGAGGCCACACCGCAAGTAGGATACAGAGAGAGAAGTTTTGGCCTTAGGAATAGCTGGCCCTGAAGCTCATGCTCTTTCCATAACCACTTCTGCCAGGATGGCCAAATGCGGATCTGACCTATTGTTAAATGTCCGCTTCTCCAAGGAAGGAGATTCACCCTATCTCCGTCACTTGCTCCATTGTCTCACCCATAAACAAACCTCAGTCTGTGGAGAAATGCTGCAAAGAATGGCCTCATCCATTCTCTAATTTCCAAGTGGAAAAACAGGAGAACAGAGTGGTCAAGTGGCTTGTTCAAAGCCATACAGCAAATCAGAAAGTGATCCAAAAGCCCTGCCTCGTCCTGCTCTAACAAAAAACCAAAGAGCTATGGAGCAGCAGTCCCAGCCACCCTGTGGATTTTGCCAGGAAAGCTGAGCTGTTAATCTAGGGAAGAGGTCCAGGAGGGAAGAGACTCCAGATTTTCATAGCTGTGGGACTCCTGGGGCTGTTCAGAGGAAACCAGCAGGGGAAGAAAGGTCACTTTTGCCGGTATGAAGGAAACAGCAATGACTCAAAGACACATGTGCTCCGAATTCATTGAGCAGAAAGGGCCCATTTTTAGATAGATGCTCTTTTGAGCCTTAACCACACCCGTTGCCACAAGCTGGCGCATGTCAACAGGAAGCCCATCCCAGTGATGTGTATTCTGCTCCCTCATGCTAGTTGCCAGGGGTTGACTGCTGGGGGTTGGTGGAAACCAGAAGCAAGGGGCTGGGCCACCAGACCAAAGAAGCCAAGCCCAAGGAATGACCTTCACGCCTCTAAGGAAGGCAGTTGTGTCTAGCCGCCAGGACCTCAGATTTTCCCAGGCCAGGTGTACCACCAAAGGGCCTGAAATAGCTCTGAGGTTCTGTGCCCACAGGGCAGGGAGGGCAGTGGCAGGGACCGAGGGCAGGGAATGAGCACAGCACTGCTTTGTTGGGGAGGCGAGGAGCCCTGCCTTCAACAGGCTGTTCCACCTGCCAGAGACACAGCTGGGCAGAGACGGTGGCCATGGCTGAGCTCAGCAGAGAAAGCCATTTGTTAGGCTACGAAAATAGATGCAGTGAACCTGAAACTAACCAGACAATCCAAATGGAGGGACATTCTGCAAAACAACAGCTTGGGCCCCCAAAATGTTCGTAATAGCCAACAAGTGGAAACAACCCAAGCGTCCATCAACAGATGAATGGATAAACAAAATGTGGTATATCCATACAATGGAATATCAACCTTCAAAAGGAATGAAGTTCTGATCCAGGCTATCACACAGATGAGCCTTGAAAACACTGTGCTAAGTGAAAGAAGCAAGACACAAAAGGCCACAGATTGTATGATTCCATTTATATGAAATGTCCAGAATAGACAAATCCCCAGAGACGGAAAATAGATTAGTGGTTGCTACAGGGGAATGGGAAGTGACTGCTAATGGGTACAGGGTTTCTTTTGGGGACGATGAAAATTTTCTGGAATTACGAAGTAGTAATAGTCGCACAACTTTGTGAATATACTAAAAACCCTCTGAATTATACACTTTAAAAGGGTGAATTTTTTAGTATGTGAATTATATCTCAATTTAAAAAGTTTTTAAAACATTATAACTAAATACAATGTGTGGTACTTGACTGGACTCTATATTGAAAAAAGAAAAGCTACAAAGGGCATTACTGAGACAGGGACATTTTGCAAATAAACATTATATTAGATGACAGTTTTGTATCAGTGTCAAATTTCCTGAGTTGACGAGGTGCTGAGGTTACATAGAGAAATGTCAGGTAGAGGCACGCTGAAATATTTAGGGTGAAGCGACATGATGTCTGCAATGTACTCTCAAATGGTTCCACATTTACAAAAATGACAAGGTTAGATAACTTGCCCAAAGTCACAAGAGACAAAGAAATTAATTAGATATTGTCCAACATAGTGGTTAAGAGCATGGGCTTTAGAGCCAGAGTGCCTGGGCAAACATGCAGCTATGCCCCTTACCATCTGTGTGACCTTGGGCAAGGTACTTAACCTCTCTGTGCCCCATTCCCCTCATTTTAAAAGTGGGAATGATTGATGATGATGATGATAATAAGAGGAGCTACCTCCTAGTGTTATGTGTGTTAAAACATATGAAGCCCTTAGGACAAGTCCTTGCACGCTGAAAGTGCTCTGAATCTTTCTGGGAGGAAAAATTCTGAAACCGGCTCTCATCTCTAGCAGAGACCAGACCTCCATGCCGCCTCCTCCCTAGAGAGACAGTGGAATCTCATAGGATACTGGGATAGAGAGCACCTTCAAATGGGCAGAGTTACCAGAGGCGGGGGAACTGATGGGTGAACAGGCCAGGGAAAGGGAAGGCAAGCCACAAGGGGCAGGACCTCAGAAATCAAGTCCAGGGGGCTTGGGGAGGAGAGTGGGAGTGGTGAGAGACCAGGCAGAGAGATGTCACAGGAGTCGGGACTGACAAAGGGGATATCCTAAACCGAAGGATAAGGGACAGGCTTGGCACCTTCTAGCCCAAACTTCCCAGATTCCAGCTGAGAAAACTGAGGCCAAGAGAGCAAAACCATGGGATCAGGGGCTTACAGCAGGTAGTGGCAATGCTAGGAAAATACTGGCAGGACCCTGGTCCTGTGCTCTAGCCCTGGTAGGAATCCTCAGAATGTGTCGTTTGTTGTTATAGAAATGAAAAGCACCTGGACACGTAAATGATGGACATTATTAAGATGTTGAGGACTTACCATCGCTTTCAATACTTTCACTATTTTAACTCTCCCCACCACCATCCCTTGCCCATAAATGGGAAGCTGTTATTAAAGGGAGACATCTAATATTTACTGTTCTCTTAAAAGGTACCCAGCACTGTTACAAAACGCAGGTGGGTTCTACTCCCACCCCCATTTTGCAAATGAGGAAAGTGAGGTTTGACAAGATTAAGGAGTTTGCCAAGGTTGCAGCTAATAAATAGCAGAGACAGGATTTAAACTCAGATCCTTCTGGCTCCAGAGACTGTAACTTTTATGCTACACCAGTGGTTTCCAAAGTGGGTGCTTGTGCCCCAGGAACTGTGTGGGAAGTAACATTAGAATGTCTACTTCTTATCTCATGCTTTTAAAATCCCTATTTTTAACGTAGGTCTTATCATATACCTAATACATTAGCCCAGTAATACACATGCATTGCAGACCTCATGGGGTGGTCACCCAACAGCCATTCCATTCCCACCCCCATTTTCCCTTGTTACCTGATGACTTCCCAGACTCCTTGTGACCCATGAAGCCATGCGACCCAATGCTGGACAATGAGGCATAAGAACACGTTCACCAGAGGTTTCTGGAAAAGACATTTTGCTTCTCAAAAAGGGGACAGGTGCCAGAGCTTGGCAGGCTGGCACTGCCCCTGTCCCCCTTTCTGAGAAGGAAGACACAATTTTAACACATGACCTTGAAGGGACAGACTTGAGAACAAAAGCCTACGCAATAAGGATGGAGGAGCTTCAGAAAGCCAGACAGAACCCGGCCCTTAATGACATCCGCGACCTGATGCACCACGCAGAGCCCACCGGGCCTGACCAGTCAAGGTGCTCAAGTCAGCCACTGTTGCCTGGGCTTTCAGTTACGTGCAGCCCCACATGTGTGGACTAACAGGAGGGAGTCTATAATTACTTTTTTTTTTTTTTCTGTACGCGGGCCTCTCACTGTTGTGGCCTCTCCCATTGCAGAGCACAGGCTCCAGACGCGCAGGCTCAGCGGCCATGGCTCACGGGCCCAGCCGCTCCGCTACATGTGGGATCTTCCCGGACCGGGGCACGAACCCGTGTCCCCTGCATCGGCAGGCGGACTCTCAACCACTGCGCCACCAGGGAAGCCCTATAATTCTTAAGTCAACAAACATGCATCTATTAGGGGTATATGCTCAAAATGTTTTACTGGTAGGGATTCACATGACAGGGATCATGAATGCATGGACTCTGCTGCTCTCTGGGGACAGGGGTGCAGATGAGAAGTAGGCCCTAAATGATGAACTCTCTGTCCCACCCTCTGGAAGCCTGGGAGGATGAAGGGTAGCTGGAAGTATGTTTGTAAACTTGCCCTCAGAAGGATCCAATCTAGGCAAATTGCTGTGAGCTTGGAATTTTCATGTGTTCTCCCCCTTCAGTAGTTTCACTTGGCTATAGGAACTAACAGAAGAAACTCTATAATGTGATTATTCTCTAGAACTCTCAGCAGGTTCAAGAGACCCAGAGAGATACCTGCCTGGGATAGCTCTCATAACCCAGGCTCAGCATATACAAACTATGAGAGCTGAGAACCATGAGGAGAGAGCCCTCTGCATTCAAAATGAGTAAGCAGGAAGGGGTGCAGGAGAGACTGTGTATCACCAGAAATGGGGTACCTGAATCAGGAGTGATTCAACAGAAAACCATACAGCAGTGGCTTAAACAAAATAGAAACTTATTTCTCTCTCATGTAAAAGAAGTCTAGAGGTAGGAAGTCCGGGCTGGCATAGTAGTTCTCTGGTCATCTGAGACTCGGGACCCCTCTATATTTCTACTTCACTGTCGTAGTACATCGCTTTTATCCTCCAGATTACCTCATTATCCAGAATGGCTGCTGAGCTCCAGCCATTATCTCTGAATTCCAGGCAGTGAGATAAGGTAAAAAGGGTCCACGCCCCCTTTTTAAGGAGTTTTCCTGAAGTTCCTGCTTACAAATCACAGCTGCAAGTGAGGCTAGGAATGTTTCTTTTGCCTGGGCACTATGCTACCTTGAATAAAATGGAGGTTCTGTTGCTAAGGAAGAAAGGGGAATGGATTTAGGGTGGCAGCTAACAGCCTCTGCCCCAGTCTCCAAAAGCAAGGGGGCTTTTTGGGTTAGAGGCGAGAAAATGGGATCAGAAATCAAAAGATATGCTCTGACCTTTATGAGTCCATGGCCTTGGGTAAATCCCAAAACCTTCCTGAGCCTCAGCCCCAAACAGAGGGCTAGGGGAGGGTCAAATGACATGATGCTGTGAAAGGGCCTCATAAACCATAAAGCACTATTCCCACATAAGGGGTTATGTTGCTGCTACTGCTGTCATCAATACTAAGAGTGGCTGGCTATTTTCTGTGGAGAGACAGGCAGAGAGGGCTGGAAGGAGAGGGAGGACAGCATTTACTGGGACAAATAGAAAGAGGAAGGAGATACGGTGGCTGCTTCACTAGCTGTGCAGGAGAAATACCCCTGCAAGCAGGAGTCTGTTTCCCTAGGGCCACGTGCCCCAGGCCATGTGAAAATCTGGAGTCTGGCAAAGGCCCATGCTGCCTCCTTCAACCCTCAGGGCCCCAGACAGGCAGGCAAACAAACATGACACCTGGGGGAAGCCCAAACACCCAGGAGAGAGGGGAAGGCCTCCCGGAGCGGAAACCAAGTTCTGGGTCCCCACAGGGCCAAAATAACTTGCTGATTGAGTCAACAGGCCAACACATTGGTGAAGCTGCTGGGGGACAAACCGAAACCCCAGCCAGATCTATTATTTAGCAATTTGTCACCAAGCAAAAATATAAATTATCCTCTCCCCCAGACCCCAACTGCCAGGTTGTTTGGTGTCAGGAGTCGACTTGGGTCAGCCAGGGACAAGTCAAATGTTTTGCATCAGCTCTCCCCACAGCGTCCAGTAGGGCAGCTGGGAGGTGGACTCCCGATGTTGGAGGAAGGGACAACCTCTTCTCTAGACCCCAAGGCCCTAAGTCCTTGCAGGCAGCTCCCTGCCAACAGCCCTTCCCTGATGTCGAGGGCAGTGGGATCCCAGGGGTGCACTTGAAGAATTTTTATGACACAGTCCCTCCACAAGTATTTGCTGGATGCCTACTGTCTACCTGCAAGCCCAGGGGGATGGTGGATTCTGCTCCAGGGGCTGTGAGCTTGAGGATAAGGGCCTTTTCTTGGTGCTGGGGTGCACCCCCTTCCCCTCCAGGTCCCTGGCAGTGTGAGATGTCGAAAGTCAGCTATTTAGATTTCAAAACTAATTGGTTACAGCTCACGGGGGTGGAAGCAGTACAAATTGCAAGCAGCGTAGAGAATTTTAAATCTGGTTTCATAGTCTCTCTGGCTTGGTACAGATTAAGCGTATAAATCAGGCTTCTGTAGCTTGACTTTCTAGTTCACCATTCCTATTCACCATTCAAGACATGAACAAGAATTTTTAAAAAAACAATGTTTTGTTGAAGCAAACATATATACAGAAAAGAAAACACATGATAAGTGTAAAACAGCCTGGAGAATTTTCCCAAAGTGAGCACATCCAGGTAACAGCATCTAGATCAGTTAACAAGAACACTGCCAGCCCCCAGAAGCCCCCTGTGCTCCCTCCAATAATTACTCCCCACCGGGAACCCCATCCTGACCTCTAGCACCATAGATTCGTTTTGCCTGTTTTTGAACTTTGCATAAATGGAATCGCACAGGACATTCTCTTTCGTGTCCGGCTTCTTTCACTCAACATCACATCTGTCAGATCCACCCAGATTGTTGTGTGTGGTTGTCGTTTATTCTCAAGACTGCCTAGCATTCTAGTATATGAATAGACAACACTTCATCCATTCTACTGCAGATGGATATTTGGGCTGTGTCCAGTTGGGAGCTATCACAAAAATGCTGCTAAAAGCAGAACTTTCTTTTCACAATCGGGATCCCACCCCCCTTTTAAAGATTTTTATTGTGGGGACTTCCCTGGTGGTCCAGTGGTTGAGAATCCGCCTTCCAGTGCGGGGGATGTGGGTTCGATCCCTGGTCAGGGAACTAAGATCCCACATACTGTGGGGCAACTGGGCCTGCGTGCTGCAACTACTGAGCCCGCACACCACAAATAGAGAAGCCCGCGTGCCACAAAGAGCCCGCACACCACAATGAAGACCCAGCGCAGCCAAAAAAACAAAAACAAAACAAAAAAAGATTTTTATTGTGGTTAAAGTGCATAACTCATCGGCATTAATTACCATCACACTGCTGTTCAACCATCACCACTATCTGTTTCCAAAATGTTTTCATCATCCCAAACAGAAAATCCGTACCCATTAAGCAGTGACTACCCATTTCCCCTCTCCTCAGCCCCTGGTAACTTCTGTTCCACTTTCTGTCTCTAGGAATTTGTCTACTCTAGGTACCGCATATAAGTGGAATCATACAGTACTTATCCTTTCGTGCCTGACTTCTTTCACTTGATATAATATTTTCAAGGTTCATCCGTGTTGTAGCATGGATCAGAATTTCATCCTTTTGATGGCTGAATAATATTCCACTGTATGGATATACCAAGTTTTGTTTATCCATTCATCTATTGATGGACATTTGGGTTGTTTCCATCCTTGGCTGTTGTAAATAATGCTGCAGTGAACATTGCCATGCAAGTATCTTTTTGACCTGCACCCTTTAGCTGAGGACCTGCTGCATATAGGGAACTGAGATAGGTAGTCATCCATCTATTAGTAGAATGTCATGTGAATGAAATGGGATTATTATTATTAGACTAGGGATGAGGAAACCGAGGTTCAGAGAAGTCAAGCCCCAAGGCTAAGGGGCCGATCTAAGTGGCTGAGACCACAGCTCAAATCCAGACCTTGACCCCAAGTCCAGGGTTCTTTCCATCCCCCCCCGTCCCCCACCTCCCTGCTGCTTCTCTCTTGCAATTCTCTGGCAACAGAGGAAGTTAGAAGATTTTGGTTTGCAGCCTAGTTCTTGCTTTAGTTCCAGGTAGAAAAATTTTCCCTTGGAGCCACTAAACCCCAATTTGGGCTTTCTGGAAGCATTTTCCTTTCTCCTGGCAAACAACCCAGGGCAAGGGAACAGGGGAGGCTTCTTGGCCCCCTTGACTCAACCTTTAAACTTTGTGCTCCAGTTTTCTTTTTCTTTCTTTCTTCCTTCCTCCCTCCCGTCCTTCCTTCCTTCCCTTCTTTCGCTACAAGTTTTGTCACATCTCAACCCTCCTGCCACCAGGCTCAGAGCTCAGGCTACATTTCTAAGTTTCTCTCTTGGTAAAGACAACGGAATATCTAAGACCTAATTAGATTCTCATTCAAAGAAAATGGAGAGAACCCCTTGACTCATATGTCCTCTTTCTCTGCCCTGCCACAGTAAATTTTGGTGAAAGACACCTACCCTGTGTTGGGCAGCAAGTGGTCAAACTTGTCTGTTACGTCCCTGTCCTCCAGGCAGCCCCGGGGTGGGGTGGAGGTGCAGGCGCAGGACACAGGCTGAGAGAAGCATAATGCTCAAGCCCATCAGGTGGGATGCTGAGAGTACAGGAATGCTCCCAGGGCTCTGGAGGGAGTATATGGCTATGGAGCCCGGGAGTCAGGGGGGGTCTTCCCTAATATTGCCTGCTGAAGGCCCTGTAAAGTGCCAGACACGGTGTTGG